CAAACGCCGGATTCGATCGTCAATTGTTTTATAAAATGCAAGATTAACGACCCTAACTTTCTCGTAGACCTTTTCTTCTGAGCCATCTGCTTGCGAAAGTAAACTTTTTACCTTTAAACACCTACACATGTAACGATAAAACATGTGCATTCTTCTGGAAAGACTTGTCAGTTCTGCTTCAAATTCCCCACCCCCTGGGCAGGAACGTCATTCAGATACCTGTGGGTTCCCCGGGGTAAATGTAGAAGTTTCGAATTGATTGGGGCTTCACAGTCGAAATAAAGAGTTACTTTGCACTTCGTGTATACCATACGATACGCGATACAAAACTGGAAGTTTCGAAAATTACTAAAATAACATTGTAATTGTTTGAAATAATAACTGATAGCACAGGTGGCATTATGAGTTCATAATAAAGAGATGTAACTTTATATTTGGAATTCACTAAACAAACTGCAATCATATTCGCAATGTTTCAGGCGAGGCTGACTTTGCAGAATATTTTGTTCCTTTACATAGTGTTTCCTTTTAAACAATCTTTATTCTCCACAAGTTTTCAACGTGATTCTAAGTTTCGTGTCGCTTCTTTTATCGACCATGTTTTTCACGTTCTTGATATAGTGGAGCTTGAATCCAGCCTTGTCAGAGATCGATTAGATTGTGTGCTTCAATGTTTAGAGGATCAGCGATGTTTCTCAACAAACCTTGCTGCTAAACCTGATATCACTGGTAACTATGTTTGTGAGCTGCTTCCCACAGACAAGTATAACGCTTCTGACAGCTTTAAACCAAGTCCACATTTCCATCACTACAGTGTTAAGGTATGGTTTGCTTAACAGCTGCATTTTACTTAAGCAGTCTTGAAATCGTTTTGGTTGATCTTTAAAGTAAGACCACCTATTTTTCGTGACTTTAATTTCCTTGGCCAAAACAAACTTATTTTCACTATGGATATTACATCTCTTTGCACTGCTATTCCCAATGACGAAGGTCTTCGGGCCCTTAAACATATATTTTTTTTTATCTACGCACTGTCGAGGAACCTAGCTCTGAAACACTACTCCGTCTAGCCGAACAAGTACTTACACTCAATTGCTTTTCATTCGGTGGCAAATACTATAAACAAACTAATGGCGTAGCAATGTGTACTAAAATGGGACCCAGCTCCGCAAGTCTTTTCGTAGGTTTTATCGAACACCCAATTTTTTAGTAAATGCCACGGCCCCAAACCTGAACTCTACGGTCGCTACATTGACGACTGCATCGGCGCTACCTCCTCTGCCAGAGAGGAGCTCACTCAATTTATAAGCGCCGTAAATTCTTTTAACCCGGCTCTGAAATATACCTGGGAAATTTCTGACACTTCTTTGGCTTTTCTAGACATCAAAATTTCAATTGGAGGCAACGGCTTATGCACTAGTGTTTATTACAAACCTACAGATTCACATAGTTACTTGTTGTATTCATCTTCGCATCCATCACGCGTCAAGAATTCCATACCTTTTTCACAGTTTTTCAGCCTTCGTCGTTTATGTAGTGACGACTCTGATTTTTCGGAAAAATCAGTTTTTCGATAAACGTTGCTATCCTGTTTCTGTCGTTCAAGCGGGCCACTACCGCGTCCAACAAATTGATTGACATACGGGCAGCACTACAAACGGCTAAGAAGGAAAATACTGATCGCATTCCATTTACTCTCGCATTTCACCCTCACCACCACGCAATTAAATCTATAATTCCTAGAAAATGTTAATTACTTCAAAACTATTCAGAGATTGGTACTATCTTTTTGCAACCTCCACCAATTTCATTCAAATGTGACAAAAACATAGGCAACTTTTTGGTCAGGGGTTCGTTTCAAACTGCTATAATCAACCTGGAACTTTCAAAGGCGCTCGCTCACTGGATGCAAAACTTGTCCTTTCATGCATAACGCAGAGAAAATCGGGACCCTTAGAGATCCATTAAAATCACTGATCAGTTTATGTACACCTCCGCCAATGTCATTTACTGCATAACTTGCACTTATTGCGAAGAGTAAAACATTGGTGACAGGAAGACGACTAGGTAACCGATTCGGAGAACACCTTCGCGACGTAGAAAGAAATGACAAGGACGCATCCAAACCATTCGCTATACACTATAATCTCCCTAATCATTCTAAGCAGAATATGGTAGTTTGCGGCCTTTCCCTACATCTCGGCAGTTCGGAAAGCCGTAAAGCTTTAAAACAAAAATTAATCTCTCAAATTAGCACTCTTAATCCTCACGGTATCAACGGGCGCTTTTCATTCAATTTATTTATTCTTGTTTCAGTTCTCGTCACTACATTCCACCGATAGCGTAGCTCCATTTTCTGCAAATAAACACATTAACAACCCAAAATTGTTCCATTCGCTCTGACGAAGGGGTAACGCTCGAAAAGTCAACCTTTAAACTCTTTACGGTGGCTAATTCACGTTATCAACTCATGCGGTTGATAATAATAAATTACCCTATATAGGATGACACCAGTCAGGTTACAGAGGCAAGCCACATCACTTCCGCGATTTAATCGGAATTTAACATAGTACTATTTATTTTTTATTTCTTACGCAACATCTCCAGTTGATTGACCGAGCTATGCAGAAGGCTCTCGACACCGACAGAGCAGGGACTGAAACAAAACTGTTTGTCTAGACCTCAATAACTCAAAAAGTGATTGTATTTATTCTTTTGCTTCTTTGCTCAAACCCAGCAAACTATTTTTGCCCGTTAGAAGGATACCTTCTTTGACCTCATTGCCTTGGGTTATCCTGTTCCAAGAACCGTTTTTAATTTCAACAACAAATTTACTTATGCCTAAATTTTTCCCACACAATAAGGGTAACACAAGAGAGTAATGAATTAGCCCCTAGGGTGAGCTTAATCACCAAGACTTCCCAACTGGAGCCTACATGAATTACAAGCTTATTAAAAACCACCAAGTTGGTTATTGTTTGTTTCCTGAACTTTCGCTCAGCTAAAATGAATACCATATATGGAATTTACTTCTTTGGTTGAAAAGCCTGCAATTTCAATAAAAGCTTGTAACGGCTTTACAATGCAAGCTTATTACTATCTAAACTAAATGTGCTCGTGGACAATGGGACAAAAAATTGAGAGTGGGTGAACGAAATTTGGGGAAAGTTCCCTGCTAACTTTTTCAGCGCCTAAAGACCCTAAAGAATTTGAATTTTTGGGGTGGTAGTTTTCAGCATGAAACGCACGCCTTGTCCTGTTAGAGGTTTTTTTTAATGTTTTAGTTGAAAAACAGGAATTTTGAATTTGAGTTGATATTGATAACTAAACTCTAGACTATTTCTAATGAATGCTCAGTACCACAGTGGTTATGTTTTCGGTGGTTTAATCAGACAATCATCAATCCAGCAGGTGTTCCTTTCTCTCTTTCGCTGAAGATTCATTTCAACGTTAAGTTTCCTTACGCCCAGCACACTCTTCAACTATTTTTTGCAATTAGGAAAGGAAGAAAGTGATGAAGAATTATTTCGAAATTTAGATATATACAGTGCCTCCATTTCAAAAGAAGTCAATCTCTTTAATTGAAATGCGATCTATACGGAAGTTTATCATGGACACAAGACTGAGGCTTTCGTAGTATTATTTTTTGTCTTGTGCTTTTCAAGACTCGCATATTTTCCACTGATGGAAATATTAATAAGTCTGAGAGACGTTTTTGTACCTTAGCGTTATCGTGTTTTCTAGAAAGCTACAATTTTAAGGATGAAACATTTTGGCCTCTTATTTTTCCTAATTAGCATTCATAAAAATGTTAATTTTGGATAAATTGCAACCTATCGTGTTTTGCCCCCTTAAAGATTAACTTAACCGTTCGAGAATTGTCTTTGAATATGCTAAATTTCGATTGCAGACGCCGCACTTTCGAAAACAAGTCCGTTTCACAAACAGTTGCCGCCCTTGTTATCTGAGTGCGAGAAGAATGCCTTTAAGTTTAGCCTTTGAGTGATAAGATCAGTAGATCGCTACTGAAAAAATATAGCTAAGATCGAAATGAAGACTGGTACTTGCTACGTCACAGGCCGGCCAGGTTTTTGAACCAGATTTGAAATAAAAGGTGTTTTAGCACATTTGAAGAATAGTTTCGAATTGGAGTCACAAACGCAACACATATACTTTTGAAACACAGCTATACTAAACTGTATTATTCCTGCAAAATGTACTTCTTCTTTTAAGGGAGGAGGAAACCTTGTTAGGGCGTAGAAGGTGGCCCATTTAATCATTGACAACGTTTTTCAAACTCAAAATTGAAAAACTGTTTGTTCAGATCCAGTGAACCGCCACAGTTTCTGGATCTTGTGCGTTTTGTTTGCCAAATGATTAATGTATTTGATGTAAGAGGGTCTCAAAGCGGTTAACCGTTAGCCGTAAAACGGCCAAAAATGAAGTTGTTGGGCGTTAAAATTGACAAATTTTAACCGTTGATCGCAAACAGATTAACTGTGAAAATTTTAATGGCGACCACAATTCAAAGATATCAACCGTTAGCCGAAAATTGGCTAAATCTTAACCTTTAACCATCACCCGATTGAGACCCTCAAGTATAAGGAAAAAAGTTTCACATCATAAAGCATCGTTTTTTTCCACTCCTATATTCTCGTGTTAAACCTTAAGGACATGAAAGTATAACAAAATGTCAAATGCTCCCTCACAGAGTCCATGTTTATCAAAACCTTGTCGGAATAACAGCAGCTGTCGAGCCTTGTATCAACTGAATGATTTCTGGTGTGAGTGTCAAGCAAATTACTCTGGAAGATATTGTGGTAAGTGTGATTAAGTAAGCCGGTAGAAGCCACAACACTAAACCATCCAGTCGTCAAAATATATTTCAAATATTAAAAGTGGTAGGAAATTAGGACGATTTTAAACACACCGTTCAAAGCTTTTACATTTAGTACGTTGTAATTCAATGATATAGAATGTAATTGTCTGATATGGTATAAATGATAATTATTACGTAGCTATAATAGTGAGAAGCCTGCTGACTTGAACGTATTGCTTGTTTTTGGGAGTATGTATCCATAGTGACGGTTCATATCGCGAAAATCGAATGTTTTACCGTTACTATGGCAACTGTATGAAAGTGACATGTTGAACAATTACATCATGGAGCTCAACCAATGAGGAGCCATCTTACGTTTTAGAGCTGCGCTGTTGTTTTGGTAACAATCAACCATATTGTCGTCAATTTTTCCTTCCTTATAGAAAAATGGCTTGTCGAAATACCGGGGGATGTTTGCATGTATGGGAAAGGCGATAAGCCAGGGGTGTTTTTCACACCAATGGCCGGTAAAATCTACTCTACCAGGTTGGTACATATTTCTGGTAAGGTGAGCTGCACACCTGAAGATGAAAGTAACTGGGGTTATCATTCCTTCATCGACACAATTCTAACAGATAAGGACGACCACGTTGTTTTCCCAGAAGATCAAATAGCTAATTATTACGAGCTTCCTGGATTCACAGGCAACTCTCCTGAGCTGGTCTTAACATTTACTTCTCCATTGGTGGTGAACGCTGGTCAAGAATATCGGCTGTGGTATTGGGAAGACCTCGTCAACGATACCGAAGAAGACAACAAGCCTGGATCATCCTGCATGAAAGTCATTTATCTTTTTAGCGATTGATTTTCGTAAATTAAGCGAGGATGAGTTTAAAACTGCTTACCTAATGAAAACCGTCGGAAGTAGAAAAAACAAATTACATAAGACTCTTTGTCAGCCAGTCAACAAGGTATAAAATCCGTCCAATTATTTATCCTTCAAATGGAAGAATTTTAGAAAATAGCATTTTGAGTTTTTCCTTACAGTCCTGGTTAGGTTTAATTAAAAGAAACCACACAGCAATACAAGCTGAGAAGAGGATGTTTGTGATTTAAGCGGCATATTTGTTGTACTGAGTTTGAAGTGAAATATCACCACACTTATACGAATGTATGCTGACTATGTATCTATGTATTATTTTAGGGAGCAGATCGAAAACAAACAAAATTGAATTCAGGAGGAAGCATATAGCTAGATACTGTTATTACTTTTGGATCTTAAGTAACCCTAAGCAATGTAAATCTTAAACCAAACATTTTCGAAAAATAAAACAGGGATATCAGATAATCCTCGACCAATCAAATTGGTCGCATCTGCATTTGTACCTGACTGGTGATAAGGCGCTAACCGGGAGTTTATGGGTGACTCACAAAGAAGGTGTAATTACCCAGAAGGCATCCCTTGCCCGTCCATGCTCCCTGCCAAGTCGTTTCCCCGAAGTACAACTGGAGCTAGCACCTGTTAATTTGGCGTATGACAGAAATAACCGATGTGATTTATTGACTGAAATTTACTTGATACAACAGCTGAACCTAATCTTGTTTTAACGTCCGCATTAGCGAGCTAGATAAGAAAATCATGGTGTAGGTCTTTATATTTTGATTTAGCAGAGGAAGTTGTCTCAGAATCAGTCAGCCATTAAAGGTGTTTTGACGAGACTTGCCCGCCAGTATCAAGTATACGGCAAACTCGTACACTAACAGGGCTAAAAATTCTCCCGAGGTGAACTAAGCAACTTACCAGCAAAACAATAGTCAACTACCCGATGCGAGAAATTAGTAGTTTTGTACAAGTCATAACATGGTTTTGATTGCAATTTGGCGTTAAGAAGCACGTGTAAATTTTCCAAAGACAATAAAATGTCACGAACCCACAGTTTTTGAAAAATTTAAAGAACATCACAGAAAGTCAAGATAGACGAAATTTTGCAAGCGTGCGCGCGCTATTTTTAATTTGCACTCGTTACAATTTTGCACTCGTGTTACATGAGAATGCACTCAAGATAGACGAAATTTTGCAAGCGTGCGCGCGCTATTTTTAATTTGCACTCGTTTCAATTTTGCACTCGTGTTACATGAGAATGCACTCGTTTTCGGCCAACCAGAAGCGGTGATTTTTTCACGTACATTGATGGCATCGTAGTAGCGCAAAAGAACACTAAACAAAGTAAGCTAGGGATATCATATCCACAGAAAACTGCTTACGATAGAAAAAGCGGTTACGATTCATAATAACGATCCTAATCGAGATTCGCAGTTGGATTTAAATGTTTATACGTGGTTAACCTAGGAAACATTTTATTCGTATTTGCTATTATTACTCGCAGAAGCTAATCTCCTACGTTATTCTCATTTTCGTTGCAGTCATTTTAATGATCATGATGTTCACGTTGTCGATCCCTCAAAAGTGTTTTTTCACTGATCAAAAGCAACCCTGATATCAAGTTTTAAGAACAGCAAGATTCCATGAGAAACTTTGAATATCTTTTGAGTTGGATATTTGCATATCTGGCCCCCCATATTCGCGATTTCATGCAGAAAGTCTGCTCCGAAATTGTCCACAATTACACAAAGCAACACTACAGTTATATTCTGAGGCGTTTTTCTAAATTTGAGTGAGAGGAAAAACACAATCGCACGAATAAGAGAAAAAAATAAGTAAAGAAATTCGCAGAAAAGTTGTGATTTTATTGTCCACCAACTATACACAGAGGAGACGGTTGAGCCTTGTCTGCCATAAGTAACGAGCTATTCCTAGGACATAGTGAGATCATACCATGTTTTTCTTTTAGCATTTAAGAGCACACAACAAGCGCATCTACCAGTGCACTGAATCAAGTGTAATATAGAGAGCCGAAAAGATAAAATGCTCATATCTACAGTACACTTTTAGACACAAGCTGACTCGCACAAAAAAATGTGTACTACAACAATCATTAATCTCTTCTCAGTGGAAAGGCTTCTTGTGTTACGCCATCTTTAGTGATAACACTGATAATTACTGCATCTCCAGTGTAGATATCTCTCTCAGCAGCAGCAGTAAATACATCCTTTACCAGAAAAACTGCTTTATCTTTGCTCAATGGAGCTTCAGTTACTCCTTGCTGGTTTTTGAAACCAATCTTGATGAAAACAATAGCAAAAACAGATAAACAAAATTGCAAACTTGTACATGAGTTAAAATTAATTAAGAAAAAATTTTGTTTTTATGAAACGTCACTTTTAATCATGAAAATTTTGATCCATTCTACATTAAAGATGGTAAAACTAAAAACTAATGAAACTGCATAAATATAAATCATTAATTTAATGAATCAGCAGAGACTGTTGATTACATGGCAAACAATATTGCTTGCTTTGTAGAGAATTAAAAAAAAAATGAAAATCCTCAAAGAGAAGAAAGAGTTTTACCTGATTGTCAAGTAATGGCTGTAGAAGAGCTGAAGCAGAACCTCCAGCTCTGTAACTTTCTCTTTCATAGGAACCCACTGGATCAAAACTGAAAACACAACCTTTACCTGATAGAAAAAGATAATGATCATCAATCTATGTTTCATCATCCAAAATAAAGAGTGGATTTTGATGCTTTTATTGAACACTTCTTCTGCAACTAAATCTGCTACTTGCTGCAAAAAATGACACCTGTGATGTCACGTGATTACTCAGCAACTTTTGTCTTGTATGAAGGGAGAACTATTTAAGCATAGTCATACATTTTCTTTCATTTTATTCATTTTTTCGTGGAAAACTCAAAGACCAGTGGAAGTCATTTTAGAAACCAATACTTTGATCTGTATAATACTCACCAAGTCTGTAATAATTACAGGTAAGACAGGACATAACACTGTACCAATCAGGACACAACCTTTCCCATAATCAGTGACAAAAATAAGCTGTTTCAATGGGCAGTAATGCTTTACCTTCATTGTCCAATCCTGCCAGAATATTGTAAGTGTAATATGGAAAAAAGCGTCGGTAGTACAAAACAGTTGATAACATCTGAGCAATGGCTGGACAACTAAAGTATGAGAGCATAAAAAAAGAAAACAATTAACATCAATATATATCTTATATTATTTACGCACCCATCCTTAACTAAGAATCCCTCTTAATCCATCCCCACAGTTCACAAATACACACAAACAGTGCTCATGCTCAAGGTTTTTCAAAGTTGGTCCCCAAAATTCATCATATAGACTATTCCCCCTATAGGGGCCAGTAGACACAAAAATGGTTGCCAAAAATAAATTCAAATTTAGCTGAGTCACCAAGAATTGTATTAAAGGCTTAAAAGACATCTTTAGTTAAGACTTAACACTAACAAACGAAGAAAGAGGCCAAAGCCAAGCATAAATGAGCATTTAGATGCCAAATTTTTTCTACATGTCATCATGACCAAAATGATTGCAGCTTAGAGTGCTAGTCTGACAACTTCTTTCAACCAAACTGAAACTACCTTACATACCTCATTTTACTTCCATGCTCATGTTCATACATCTAAAGGTAATAAACAGAATCATTAGTGCAAGTTTGATAAGTATTTTTTTTTCTTCTACAGAAAGGAGACACAGCACACTAGAATTTTCATTGTCAAAACAACAGATCTTTTTCACCGTCTTTGGAAAAATCACTCTGGATGAACAAACACATTTCAACACTCGAGGGGGGGAAAAGTGGAATGGAAAATTACAATATGACCTTATATGCCCAATCTGGAGCACTCAATCTCTACTAAATCTCTACTATTAATGAGTAATTTGCCTTTCACACAAGCTTCTGTGCAATGTACACAATCAAGCATACAACTCTACATCAAGTAAACATACCTGAAGTCTTGCTGTAATGAGTTTGGTCAGTGTAAGGCAATCACCATGAAATCCAGCACAGCCAAGAACTGTGGAATTGGTACTAAACATACAAAAACATGATTAACAAACACAGTTAACATGCATAGCATTAACCCCTTTATATTACATATAAGGAACATGCAGCTCCTTTGGATCAGATTTTGAAATTCTTCATTCCTGTTTCGAAGCCACAGGTACAAAAATGAGTTCCAGAAAACAAGATGTATAAGATGAGTTGCAGAGGTTAAGTTCAATTTTAGGATTGCCTACTTTACTAAAATTTCTAATACCATAACAGTGTTACAATAATCTTAAAATCTAACTGACTTTTTTCAAAATAGTGTACCATACTATAGTATTACTCAAGGCATTTTCTGTGGTTTGATCAGGTGTCAATTCTTTCACTAGTAATGATGGTTTTGCTCACCTGTTCCCCATAAAATGACAAGTATATATGAGTGCTGATTAGAAGATGAAAATGAAACATAATTATCATGTTTCTAATCCAAGTTAGTAAAATAAACCTAATTGCCAGCCAAAGGGCTGTGTTGTTTGAAGAAATATAGTGCAAATACAGATTTCACACTAGTTTTGTTGGCAGACGATAAAAGGGTAGCAGTGATAAACTTTTAAATGACAATTGTTCTGCACATAAAAATGGAATTATTACAATACTTAACTTACAGTTTGTAAGTCTTTGGACTATCCCTGGTGTGGATGGAAAAGCCCTGACTTAACCTTGTGTCTGATGCAATGACAGAAAAATCCTCTCCAGCAATGGCAAGTACAGTCCTAAGTTGAAAACCAAGATAAAATATGAAATTAATTTAATATTTAAGAATAAAACTTTGTGCACCTATCATGATTTCTCAAGATACATGTCCATTCAGTTTATGCTCAATTCACCACCACAACAAACTCCCCACTACAAAACTTGCCACCACTGAGAGTCAATCACCACCTGCGGCAATTTGATTCTGGCACTATTTTAAGTCTCTCCTAGGATACTCATTTGATGTAAGTTTCATACAACACGTTACACATGATGCCTGAGTCAAATTGCCACCAGTGGTGATTTGACTCTCGGTGGTGGTGAGTTAGGTGCTGGCGAGTTTGTTGAGCTGGTGAATTAACCATCCATTCTCTGTCTTAAGCACTAATGGAAACTTGCAAAACACTTAAAATAAGTTAAAAAATATACTAAGGGTCTACCTGATTGACACTGGAAAAAAATTGCGACAAATGAACATAGCTCACACGTAACCTAACCAAAGCTCACCGAGGAGCGAAAGCTGCAAAGAAGTTTGTATCACACCAGATTTTCTAGAGAACAAACGGAATAACCAAGCTGCATTGGAGAAATTTGTTTCTCATAAGAAAGTCAAGAAGTTTGTACAATTAAACTTATTTTCATAACTATAGAAGCTTTGATGCTGCTGACTCATTCAGATCATAAGTTTCCAATTAAACCTTGTCACATTTTCGATAATCCACGATCTACTTACCCTCCGTTAAAAGCGTAAGGGCTAAAATATTGTTGCACAGGTCTTTCTGTATTCATTTTTCCAGTCTCTGAAAACGGAGGAGGGAAATTTTCTTTTTTATAGTTATAATTCTCTTCACAAAACTCGATCACTCAGTCTCAGTTTTTGTTCCATGCAGTATCCCACAATCCTTCTCTGTAACCTGAGCCTACTTATGAACAGCGGTCGCAATACACTATATGATACCGTACATAACGTAGTTATCACTTCCATAGTAATTTCCAAAATGGTGAGCAATAGTGTCGTTTCGAGGACGTTTTTTGAGAACAAATGCTCACATTTTTTATCTTCTCTTTCAGCTTTTTTACTCATTTTTCAAGTCTTTGGTTGGGAAAGAAGTTATTGTGGAACTGAAGAATGACCTCAGGTATAGGAAGGTGTTGCTAATAATGTACAAGTTTAACTGACAGTCTTTCGCACGTGAGTGCTTTAGGTTTGTTTCAAACAAATTTAGGTCAGTGTAAGATTTAGAAGTCGTGAGGCATTTTTATGAGGAATTTTCGGGTGTTTCAGGACCTTAATCTATATAATGAATGGCACAAGCCTTCTGATCTGTCTTATTGGTAAAAAAATAGCTCTCATCAGATCTATAGCGGCCGGATTGCCGTACAATGCAGCTGCAAATGTGTTCGAGAATCTTTCAGTTGCCGTGCTGCAATACAATTATTGAGATATTTTCAATTTCCATCATATTCTGTTGGTGGACCATTATAACTAAAGTAATCAATTTGCAGAACGTGAGATTCGAAAATGAACATTACACTTCTTTTTTTTGACAGTGTACATGGAACGTTAGACTCGGTCGATCAGGTAACCTTATGATTTTATTGTCTTGAGTATGATAAGGTGCAGTTGTACAGAGAATGTTTAGCTCTACCACTGAAATCAATTCGCATATCTTGTAGTGCCTAATCTGAAATAATTTTTATAATTTAATCCTCTTTTTACTGCAGTTTCTAAACATCAAATTAACAGATATAAGCCTGACAGACCCGGATAAGTATCCTCATATGGTATGTATATATAGTTTCTATCAGTTGTTTTAGTCTTAGATCAAAGACTTGGTTTTTCTTTGGATAGTTCTGCTAAACAATAATAGAGGGAGTCATCAATTATGATTAAAATATACACAGTACTGAACAAAGAGCAATTCCATGAAATATTATAACATGTCTATAATTTGAATTTCAGCACGTCACCAAGTATCTCAACAATGAGAGTTTTTCATGCTTTTCAGTTAATTTATCAATAAATTAATTAATAACTATCTGGTGATGGTATGACAGCTTTAGCTTAAATTTGTTTCCCCCTTTTAGTTGTCAGTTAAAAACTGCTTCATTAGAGGATCTGTAGTCAGATATGTTCAACTGCCGGCAGAAGAAGTTGATACATCACTGTTACAAGATGCCACCAGAAAGGAAGCGGCCCAAAACAAAGCTTGAAAACAAGCTGAACTAACAAAAAGTCTACACAGGAAACTCTTGAAATGAAAAAACTGTAAAATTATTTATAGGCTTTGTAAGCAGACATTTTTCATTCCCATGAATTTGATAATAGGCTATTTTACAGTTGTGTACTTAGTTGCCAAGCCTTTGATTTGGAGTGAGGCTGAAGGTGACCTTGTTGTGATAGAGACTAGTATCTAGTTAGCATGATAACAAAGTAATTTGCATTTGAAAAGCAGCAAGGTTTGTATCATAACAAGGTCACCCTTAGCCTCATTCCTGTTCAAAGGCTTGGCAACCAAGCACACAACTGTAAAATGGTCTGTTTTGAGACATTTTAGTTCGCTACAACTCATAAAAGTGCTTTTTACATGGATTTGAATGGCAAACTAATTCTCAGTTCAAAGAACTCACACAGCATAATGTTACTGTAATGGATTAAGCGACATTGCCTATATTTTGTTAAAGCAAAATTCTATTAGGATGTCACTTTCTTCAGTCAGCAACTACAAATATGACAACCAGGGAACAGTATGTTAGTAGGTGTCTCAGAAATGACAGAAGACCAGACAAGAAAACAATAAACATTTTTCCTAGTACTTAATGAGTCTGTTGACTGCCTGTTTTGTAAATGACTCAGATATGACTCAGATGGTATCTGCAGTTCAGTTTGTTCAAACTTTAAACTTTTAATCCATTTACTAGATGGCAATTAGCATGTTTGATTTTTCAGTTTGCTTGATCATTAATTTAGATACGTTCCCCCTTTCTCCATAACTTCAGGGACTATGAGTGTGAAGGAAGTGAGTGTGAGAAGAGATAAGAGGCCATGTGTATCCCTGCTTATGCTATCCACTTCAGATATTCAAAAATCCCTTCCCACAGACTAAAGATAAAATTTTGTTTTTAACAACAAACTAAACTAGGGAACCAAGGAGCCTTAATATGACCCCCTAAAGTAATAACTCCTCGGTATGCTCTGCCATTCAAGGTATCACTTAGCCAATCACTAAGATGTCGACATTTTTATTAGCTGAACTAAATTCAGGTTTGGGCCCACCCAAATTCAAAGCAGTACTCTTGTTGATTCAGACATCAAACTTCATTAGCCCTTCCCAGTTCCAAGAAAACCAATCAATATTGAAAAATACATCATGATAATTCATGAAATTGATTCAGCTTATTTCATCCAATTCAAAGTCATTCCAGGGCCAAAGTTCTTCCCAGGCAATCCAAATTTAAGAAGCTGTTCTTTGTTGATTCCCAGTCTTTCCACATTTTTAAAATAAAAGCTATTAAGTTTGGCTCAAGCAAAGTTCATCCTTCCAATCAGGCCTACGTTTTTGGATGTGTTTTACAATTGGAACTATAGCAACTCCAAGTATTTCACACAAATCATCAGCCCAACAGGAACTTTAATTTTTGTTTATGGTACATTACATTCACAGAAGACATAAAAACACAAAGCTGTAAGTTGAAATAACATAGACTGAGACAGCCTGTTTTATCACTTTTCTTTAGAGCTGAACACACATGCATGGAAACTAAATCGTTAATGAGGAGCCAAAACACTACAACATAATTTTAAAAAATGTACTCTGAACACTAAACAGAAAGAACTGTTTGTGAGGGTTATGCTAAATTAGAAACTGATGGGAACAATCTAATACAACACAAACCCCAAGTTTTATAGCAGAGATACAATCTCCATATATGATTTACAAAAATCACAGAGCAGGACATATATCCAATAGATGGGGCTTTTTTTGTTGGGCAAGAACTGCATGAATGAAGTGTCTCACTTTATCTGGGGAAGAATCTACAGTATTAATTGCAGAATTAAACACCAGCAATTATTTTCAGCAAGATAAAAATTGAGCCTAAGTTTACTCTCTTAACTGTACCACACCTATTTATAAAGTACACAAAAGGGGAAAGAGACCAAATAAAAATTTCAAGCATCTGTATATAAATTGTTCTCCTTTTCAGGTAGTAACCAGTGAAATTTACTGCCTGCAGTACCTCTTATTACAGCCTAAAATCACTTGGAATTCTTGAAATGTACCTGGTAAAAGGACTACTCTACTGGTCTGAAAATTTGTTTTACCTGTCATGCTTAAAAAAAGGGAGAACACTATATATACTGTTAGTTACAAGAAGATTGAGCACTTTAACAAATTAACCATTTTTAAAACATTTATCCTCAAATCTGAGAACTTGAAATGGCATTAAACTAGGAAATATTAAAACGAAAGAGTAGGATAGAAAATAACTTGTTCTTATTTGTAATGAGGTTTTGTGGATCTTGGACGTGCTGATGCAGACCGTCCTCTCTGAGCTGCTGCTCTCTCCTGGATCTGGTAAGCCATGGGTGAAATTTTAAATCCAAACAACCTAACAAAAAAAAACAATGAAAAAAAAAGGTGAGAAGTACTGACTCGAACAAAACCAAAATAAACTGACAAATCCTACCCTTCTCCTTGAGAAAATATTTTTTAAATTTTATGTGATTGGTTTATTAGTTTTTTCAAAGTGAAACACAGTTTAATTTGTAGTTACTGCTTTTTTCCCTCAAGGTTCTGAATATTGTTACTCATCTAAACAGTCTTGCACACTCATTACAACACTTTACCTTGGAACAAACTGGTTGTTTGGTCTTTTTGGTCTGTACTCAGGATGTACCATAAACAGCATGTGAGGGAAACCTGTCCCAAAGTATGCTCCATCTGTGTGATGATGTCGAGATGATTTTGGTGTGTAAACATCCATGCATTTTGGACAGTAAAGTTTGACCATTGCCTCCCCAGGAACATCAGACAAACCTATGGATGACAAAAGAAATTGAGCTTTGCAAAGAATGCTCTGAAAACATGATAACATACTGAAGCAAATGAGAAAAATAACATACTACACATACCCAAGCCTCAACTTTGCAAACTTACCAATGGGTAAGACTGCCTGATTTTCACAGTACACTCGACAGCAGTGTCCAAAATCACCATTCTGGTATTTTTCAAGCTGTGTTTAAGAACATGCAAAGTTAAGTTGGCATTCAGTATGTTCACAGCAATTTGCAGAGTGGTCAGAAGGAGAATTGTGATGATAATCCTACAAGGCACCCAAAATACATTAAACATATGGTTTATTAAGATCTAGTAGAATAGCACAAGTTATGAAAGAGTTAAGGTTGGTCACAGATTACAGGGCTGTACATAAGTCAGATATTATTCATTCCAAAGCATTCTGCCAAGCTTACACGAACCTTTCTGCAAATTCTGATTGATTGTTTTTCAATAATGGCATGATTCATCCATGGCACTTTTAGTAAAATGAGGTGAAAGGCAGACTGGCCAGCAGGTTTGGTCAGGTGGTACATGTACAACGTTTTGTTGACAACTCTTGGCTTACATCATTTCTTACATAACTTAATAATACTCATTCCGCACACAGTTTATCAATATACAGAGACACAATTTATACAAAAATTACTCGTGCATTTTTTTCTAATACTTCTGCCTGTAAAATAACCTTGGAACTTGCACAAATTATCCTCCTGAGGTTCAGAAAATATTTTTGTATACATGTAATCCCTTGACTTCTTCAATGAGTTTATTTGACCATATTCACTTTGCCTTTGGTGGAAATTCATTAGATGATGCAAGGAGCCTAATCTACTTGTTTTCAATCTCCCTGCATTCAGATGATGACATGTTTTAAAAAACACATATTATATCTCAAGTACTAACAAGTCATGGAAACACTTTTATGTAAAAACAATTGATATATGAGAAGCACCCACCATTTGAAATATTCTTGAAATTGTAATCACACTGGAAAAACTAAACCAAGCACTTAGCACAATCTTTTTATTTAAAATACTATGTAAGACTAGATGGCCAGCACAACTTACAATACTTACCATTTGCGCAAGCCCCCTGTTGGTTAATATATAACGAGCATGAATGAGACCATATAACATCTCTGCTGCCTGTTCAATCAGATCACTTTGATTTGGATTATCTTCTAATTCATCATCTGTTGACAAAACAATAAAAAATTTAAAACACATCATGATTAGTTTATATTCTCTCTTAGTATGAGCCCTGACTCTACAGGTGGATCTTTTGGCAGTACAATTTTGTTTTGTTCATATACACATAGAAAATTTCACGCAAGTTGTAGGTGGAGAAGGTAAGACTTTCCAAGATTCATTTTGGTCATTGGGATGCAGTGTTCACCAGGAAAATTTGATGATTTGCTCTTAGTTATAAAAATCATCCTTTCCAAGAATGAGTTAGCTGACCTTATAATATACATTTATATTAATAATTTTAAGACTGTTTACAACAGAAATTTTGGTAAACTCTATTGACTGATCAAATTTCACCATCAGGATATAGCTGAAGTGTACATGTTGGTGATAAAATAATTTCACCAACCTGGCTCCATGTCCAGTATCATGTCCAAGGCCTGCCTGTAATGTGGCACTTGTTCATTTAATCCAGTTAAATTAAACTTGTCCTGGATGTAATCTTCGTCAACCTTGCATAAAAAAGAGTTGTCACAATACTAAGCAAGACAGTAAATAGTTTTAAAAATCAATGACATAGGAGCAGTGCAATAAACAATCAGAAAATCACTTTGACAACCATAGTGGAGGTCATTATCAGGGAAGAGGAGTTGTTAGTAGTTACAAAAATTTTTACTGAGAATGCCAACTTAACTGAAAACCAGAATTTACACATTTCCTCAAGCTGCAACTGTTTTAGATTGGTACAGCAAGTATATACCAAAATTTGGCAACAAAATTTGAAGCAAAAGTCCTTAATTTGATGACCTGAGTGTGGCAGTGATGAAATGACTTGTGCTACAACAGAGATAAGGGATAAACCCAGACTATATATGGTACAGGGTGCAAAATTGCAATCATAAGTGTATATTTAGATGCCAAAATGACGGCAACTTGGGGCACTGTGGATGGATCATTGGTTATGTTTGTAAAGTAAAGGATGTTATACACATTTTCCTTAAATTATATCAAGAATTTTCTAAAATGAGGTTTCAGTTGTGTAAGACATGACTCTTCTTTGTAACTATCAATATCCCTTCCTCTAATTTTAGAAACTTATAGTGTCACTAATATCTAGTTTAGTAACTGCCTTGAACCCAACTTTTTAAGAAGACAGCAGTCTTTTCCTATTTTGTGAAATCGCTGATCTCACTACCTCATATGTTGCTCACCACATTCTGATGGCCTGATGGGGCAAGATTTCTGTATAAAACTTTTCCTTCATTAAGGTTAACAGTTGTTGGATGATAGAAATCAATAGATTGCCCTTGGGACTACCAGTTTGTTTAAGAACAATTTGGGGTTATAGGGAAATCTCTGCACATGATGGTAGTCAAGGTAAAGTAGTTTCATTACAAACATCAACTGCAGATTATAAATGACAGATTTACAGACAAAGGTTACAAGAAATAACTCACAATGGCTTAAATTTCTTATTGCTGTTCATAAATTAGTACTGAGGCTTCAAATCAAATGATGTGACAAAATCAAACAAGTAAGCACAATAAGCACAATATATGCTGTAGAGTATGTCCTATTCCGGACGAATTACATCGGATTCAAGTCTCCCTGTGGTGTAATTATAAAAAAGCTTATTAAATGTGACACTACTTGAGGCTAGTACCTCGCAGAAAAACTCGTTACCACGAAGACCACAAAACCAAGAAATCCACGACACCTCTTCTGAGCTACTCATGTTATTTCCTCTGTTGTTCAAGTTCGAGGAGAATGCTTGAGTTAATTCCAGATACTGAAAGATGAAAATGTTAGAGATGATCTATTAAAACAAGTTTGGGACTCTATTTTTATAGAAATGAAATAATAAACAGTAGTTTTTGGCATAGCTAATTTAAGAGGTTGCCTACCTAGAGGAGATTTAAATTATCACCGGTCTCAAAAATACCAGCCGTCACCGATTATCATCAAGAAAAGACAGATTCTAAAGTGAATATTGACACAAATACTGTATAGAGATGGAGCTGGGAAGGGAAGGAAGAGAACGGATTGGACACGCTCAATTGGCGCAGACTCCACGCATGTTTTAATACCCGCTGGATGACAAAATTACGATGCCACGGGCTCTCTTATATATATATATAAGAAGAATTTTCATTGGGCACATCTGTTCGAGTTAAGCCAATGGGATCAAGTATCAATTTGTGGCTGCAGTCTCGAGGTTTAAGATTCGCGGGAAAAGCGAAGAAGAGAGAGAGAAGGATTTGCAAGTGGGATTCTGATCTGTAAGGAAATTCAAGGCTCGTGACCCTTTTTGAGCCGAATTAATGATACCTGAATTTATCAGTTTTTTTCGGAATTACCAAGTTTCTGTCGAGTTACTTGTTGAAATATAATACGATTCTGACGGTGTCAAAGGGATGAGATTTGTTGATCCAAGTAGCTGTAAATTTTAGACTAGCCCTTTATTAGACGATAGCGTTGTTGATGTCTCGCGATTGTGTTCTTTTTCAGAACTTTGAACAATGGCAGAGAAACCAGAAGATTTGAATCTTCCTAACGCAGTTATTTCACGCCTGGCAAAAGATGCTGTAAGATTATTAACCTTAAACATTATAATGTGGGACATTTTCAGTGGCAACTACTTTGCTAAAATCTGAAAATAGCTGAAAGCGATGCGAAAGTGATCGCACTTTCCTAGATTGAAAACTAATGAGCTTCTCTCTGTTCCAGCTCCCTGAAAATGTTAACATATCCAAAGAAGCCAGAACTGCCATAGGAAAAGCTGCCAGCGTCTTTGTTCTTTATGCTACATCATGGTGTGTAATAAGTCTAAGTTATTCTAAATTTTTTTTTTGAGGGCATAGAAAAGAAAGTGGGAGGGTTGAGAGCTTTGCAGATTTCGTCATGCGGTTAACTTCCAGAAAACTGGTATAGAACTAACACTGATCAAATCTGATTAGTTTGGTGCATTTAATATTACTTGCATCAGCCTGTGATTATTTTCACTCCTGTATAAATACTTTTGCCATATGTTTCTTTATGGAGAATATTTGCGAGGTGTATGTACCAATAATACAAAGAGTTAAAAAGTCTAAGCTTGGTTAAAAACTACCAATTTTTTTTAATGTTGATTTTTTCTGTTTCATCTTAGTGCAAATAACTTTGCACAAAAACAGAAGAGGAAGACATTAACTGCACCTGATGTATTTGAAGCTTTAGAGGAAATGGAATTTGAGCAGTTCATTCAACCTCTTAAAGAAAGCTTAGCTTGTGAGTGCTTCTTTAATTTTTATTTTAAACACCTGAGAATTGGAAGATTTCTGCTATGGATGTTTCTTTGTTGCTTTTTTGTTTAACTGAAGAGAGAAAAATTATCACAAACAAAGAAAAAAAAGCAATTAATTGGTTTAAACATCAATTGACATGAAAAGGAAAATCTAAACTAGATTTGGAATACCGTATTACTAAGGAATTCTTTAAACAGTGGGGGTAATCTATAGTGGACCAGCACTTCATCCAGAGGAGAATATTGTGTCAAAGCCATTTATTGCACAGGAACAGAGATTAACTCTGGTGGACAAACTGCTTGAGCTGTATAAAAAGTTTACTTATCTTTTTTATGAGTAAATTTTCTTCAGTCTGTGTGAACCATGAAAATCTAGGATTTAAGAATTTATTTGTGTATTACTCTTGGATGGCATTCATGATAATAAATGTCTTCCATTAATTCCCTGCTCTTGTTATCAACTCATGTTGTAGTTGTTTGAAATGTGTAAATTTTTACCTGTGATGTTTTCTGAGTTTGTGTTTTTTGCCTTATAGTGTTCAGAAAGGAACAAAAAGGTAAAAAGGAAGCAGCAGCTGAATCAAAACGAAAGAAGAGTGATACTGCATCTGAACCAGAACCAGAATCCAAACGTCAAAAAACAGAATCTGATGACAAAGAGAAATTGAAAGAAACTAAAACAGGAGGAGCAGATAAAGATACAGAAAATGAAGAAGATCCAT